TAATGTGCACCTCTGCCTACCCCTTCGGGGATAAAAGGCGTGATGTTATGTTATGTTTATGTGTAAGTAATTCTTGGAGAAGTTGGAGATTAGGGTTAATCTGCTTCTTTATAGGTACCTACTTTGGTAATTTTCTCTACATTGAGATTGGTTTAAGAAGCAAGAAGCCTTAGTCTCGATACTCTCGATTTCAATATTGTTTGTCAAATTATCAATAATTATAAACAGTTAGTTAAGTATTTCTGGGAAATAGCAGACATTATTTTGTAATTAGTTTTTACGATAGACAACCGACTGATGGAATGACTTATTCACTTAATAACTATTTCTAAGTAGTTATAAAAATACTAATGGACTTTATTTACAAAGTGGAGTCTCTGTCTGACTACATACTCAATGTTTTCCGAAAAAATCGCAAGTTACAGCGTGTTCCACTAAACTCAATTAGAATGCATTCATTAGACGGAAGGAAAATGAAAGTTTTCGACTTAGGTACTAGAAATTTTGTTGTAATACTATAAATTGAATGTTAAGTTTAACTATAGATAAATAGACGCTGAGTAGCCAGTGACTGGCAGTGATTTCATGTAAAGAGCGATTATTTGAATTCATCAAATAAAAAAGAGGAACAGTTAGGTAGTTATTTTTTTTATGGAATAAGCCGGTAAACGAGCATACGCATTACCTGATGGTAAGCCAAAAAGGTAAAACCCATAGACACTCGAAACACCAGAGGCGTTACAAAGTTACAAGTGTGTTACCGGACTTTTGAGGATTAGGAATTTGAGGATTGTTGTGGATTCAGGGATTGGAGAGATTGGGGAGGGTTTGGGGTGGCTTATAGGGCTTCCTGTAAACTCACACAAACATGGGTCTTCTGTGAGGCCATGGTAACACCAAATATCTAAGTAAATAAGTACAAGTACATAAACCATAAACAACACCAAATAATAAACAATAATTTCATCCAGTCACAACACAGCATAAACTTACATAACAACATTAATGACTTGGTAGCTATAAGTTATTTTTAACTGAGGATTATTTCTACTACACTTCGATCAACAATAACAACTAGATATCGGGTCGGCGCAAGAAAATCGTCTCGACAAATAAGAGCTCACTTGAGAAGTGAGCTCTTATTTTGTTTAGTATGCTCCAAACATGGCCAACGTAATCACGTCTCGCGATGCTGCAGTGCGTAATTGCAAGTTGCAAAAATAATAACCGAAAAAGCAGTATAACGGCCGGAGTGTCTTACTTTCGATAAGTACATAAAGTATAAGTTATATTTTAAGCTTTTAAATTAGTAAATAATATCAAATTAGACAAAATTACCAATTATAAACCATCGCCACCAATGTTTGTGCGTGTGTTGGCGATCCCTTGGCCAAGCCTCGCCAACACGCGCACAAACATTTGTTTAAACAGAACAGTGGGTGCATGGAGTCGATTTGTATTGTAAAACAAATTTGTATTGTAACCTGATTGAAAAAGAGTACCTAACCTTTGGAGTTTCTTGCTCGTTCTTCTCCATAGGAATCTACACCTTGGAATGAGCAAATAGCTTCACTTTTAAATTTATATTGTTGACGTTCAAAAGTGCCTTCCTGGTCTAACTGAAATAAATGAATTTGACTTAGACTTTTAATGACAAAGTAAATAAACATATGATACACAAAAACGTACCGCTAATAAAAATAAGTGATGTATACTAAGATCCCGAAAATAAAATTATTTTAGTGTTTATCGCGACTCCATACATACCTCTTGTAGCGAAATTCAAAATTCGAAGAAGCAAAACGAAACAAAACAAAACGATATAGATCACAAGGCAATAACGGAAAAATTATCTTTATTTGTTCTAGCTTAAGGTTGAATTCAAACTAGATATTGTATAACTTATGTCTTTTAGTTTCTACATGACAGGAGTAAGAAAATGCTTTTCTTGTCTTATGTGACGAATGGTCGTAAGTATTAGATAATACTTTGACGATTTATGACTTTATTATTAGATGCCATGGTTGTTATTAGGTTGAACTTAAAACCATTTTAAAACATTTTTCTCAGTTTGTTATTTTTTTACTATTATTATTCACACGGACAGAACTGGAGCTTGATTTTGTACGTAACCCTTTATCTAGTTGATATTGTTGATCGAAGCTACTACACATCAAATGTTAGTTCGGTGTCGCGGCTATGACATCATATTGTTACACTATCATGTTTAGTTATTTTAAATAATAGCTTTACTACTTAACCCGGTGACCAGAATACTTTAACGTTGAATCTTAACTCCATTATTTAAAATTCAAGAGTGTTTGATACCATAAGACGGACTAATTTAATTTCTTACAAAAGCTGGAGAGCCAGAAAAATATTATCAGTTGTATAATGACGATTAACATAACATAACATCACGCTCTTTATTAGGGGTAGGCAGAGGTGCACATAATACCACTGTACAATGTAACACCCACTTTTCACTATTTATGTTATGAGTCCCATGTAATATGGGGTGAATCTATTGCCATATACCGGGCACAATTCCAGACTCCATGCTACTACTGAGAATTTTTTTTAAACCCAGTAATACTTTACACGACCCGGGATTCGACCCACGACCCCTGGCTTGGCAGTCGCACTTGCAACCACTCGGCCAATGAGGCAGTCCTCCAGTTACCAAATGATGCAGTTTAATCTATGAATAAAATCTAGGTAAATACAAAGATGGATGAATAAAATGAATTGCATAACTTTGCAATTGCAATAAATAGGTGAAATTGCCTAATACATTTATAGATTCATAGAAAGTATGCAGAAGAAAGCAGTAAAGTGGACTGTAAATTTGAAAATAGTAATTTATTTCTTCTATCTTGTGTAAGAACATTACATCTACAGTTAATTTCAATCATTAGGACAAATTTTTCAATAAAATTTCATTTTCGTTCAGTAAATTCTCGCCGTAAATAAAACCAAATGACGTCAAAATAACAGTAAAATATTCAAAATTTCATAGCACTCAGACAATCACATTAAATTTGTTTGAAGCGAAAATATGGAGTAAAGAATTAAAAATAGATTTTTTTATTTTTACCTTCAAAGCAGGGGGTAGCAGCTTTCGTTCAGATCCATAGTTTCAAAAACACATTATTAAAATAACAATAACACTACACTAACACAATTATTAATAATAATGCAACATAATAATTTTGGATTAAAAAAAAAGAAATTGTTTACGTTTTTTTTTTCACACAGACACTTCACACACACTCATAGGTATCACGGGAAACAGCCAATAAGAATGACTCGAATAGAAAATGCACGTTTTAAGTTTTCAAAACAGGATGTGAGCACGAAAACAATTTTCACCAGTTCTACGATTCGATTTATTATTTTGCCCACAAAATAAGTCCAGCACTTGGCCTTATCAGGCCCAATTCGCGTGATTAACGTTTATTGTTTTTATTTCATCATAATTAAATAATAGTTCTTTTTTCGTAATGTAAACGATAATAATGTTTGCTTTTATTTATAAAATTGATGCGCGAACGAAAGAGATACACCCAGAAAAGTCAACAACCGTTTGACAGGTTTTGGCACTTGGACGCGTCGCCATTTTTCCAACGTTACCAGTTTTGAGTAAAAATTCCCTGCTTACATTAAACAATTTGCAATTTCTAGTTACGTTACATCAAATTAAAAGTTGACAATAATCAAAAATAGGAAAATTTAAAACTGTCTAAAATTTCTAATAAACCTTAAGATTATTTTAGTATCCTAGGACTTAAACATGTGAACGCTTGCCACCTACTGGAAATATTGTGAAGTACACTTCAGACGCACGTAGTTCCTTTTGTGAACATAGATGTCTCTTACGTAACATTGAACGACAGTAAATAGATGGCGCTGGTTAAAGATTCGCTTGCATTTCGTCAAAACGTAATTTAGAAGAATATGTAATACACATAGACGTTAATTGGATAGTTTTCTAGGTTTAAAATAAAATATATCAACTTTTCAATGCAATAAATAATAAAAAAATAATCATACTCTCATCCATTGATTTGACAATTTACCTTTTTTTGGGTTTTTCTCGTTAATTTTAAAGAAATAAGTATGCTATGACGTAGAAATATGATGATGTTATAAGTTGCAATCCAATACAAAATTCTTAGAAAAGTATGTTTTAGATATTTCATTAAAAGTATTGAATTTGACTACCTGTCAACTACCGTATTGTAGTTAATTTACCTACTTGATTCCATATTTTGACTACTTCGTGTAATATGTAGAAAAAAGGTAGCGAAAAATAAAACTTCAAAATTGGTTTGCTTGATTAAATAATATTCCATTACATTAACATATTCGATAGTTTTTATAAGCGTATATATTTTCATATCTTTACCCTAAGTGCATTTTAAAATATAACGTAATATAAACAACATTAGCAATAAACTAATGACTAGAACAGTTAATAGGAAGTAGAAGATACATTTCTTTGTTTAATTAAGTAAGCGATAGGTACATATATTTTATTATTATCTTATAACTTGCAATACAATATTATTATAATGAGATTTTTTAAATAGTTATCACGAGACATTCTAAATTAATTTAAAACGTTGGTTTACTTAGTGAAATAATAAGAAAAGCTTTACTAGGTCTTAAATCATAGACGGGACTCTTTTTACTACGCTACGTCGCGGTCGCTGTACTGTCCACGCACGCTGCTCATGAGCTTCTCTCATTCTCACGTGAGTAAACCGTGTTTTTAAGTTATATTACTTAAAAACAATGAGATCATATATTTAATACATTTTATTGCTTTTACTACTTCAACGATTCCCCATAAATGTGGAAAATTAAATATCTATGCTGATAGCAACCCCGAATATTGTTTTAAAAATTCTACTCAATGGCCAAGGCCATTAATTTAGAGGATTTCGTATCTTTTCTATGCCAGGAATACAAAACCTTTTTTGGCCAATTCTCATACGTTATTTCAAAAAGATCACAAAGCCTGCTTTTTTTGCGACTGCTTGAGATGCGCCCGCTGTGAAGACAGTTGCTGTTACCTTGATGTTGAGTGCCTTGCATAATGGAATCCTGTGTAACATAAAATATTGTTAGGTTAGGTTACTGCCTCATTGGTCGAGTGGTCGCAAGTGCTACTGCCGGACAAGGGGTCTCGGGTTGGATTCCCGGGTCGGGCAAAGTATTACTGGGTTTTTCTCAGTGGTAGCACGGAGTCTGGAACCGTGCCCGGTATATGGCAATAGCTCACCCCCTATTACATGGGATTCATAACATAAATAGTGAAAAGTGGGTGTTACATTGTAATGTGCACCTCTGCCTACCCTTTCGGGGATAAAAGGCGTGATGTTATGCATTGTTAGGTTAATCTAGGTAGGTTTGAAGCCATGTGCCGGTAAAGAGGATTTGTCGTCACCCCTCTTACTCTCCACACGGATGTCGTAACAACAGCCCAAGTGAATAGAGGCACCAGCGGTCTCTGATAAACCTGAACCTTTCAAACTGTAAGCTGCGCTAAGCATGGAGAATGGAGATGATGGCAAGCTGTCTTAAACAGAAGACGGCTGTAATCCAACAGTGGACATGTAGACTGTCATAAGCTGCTAGCTCGCGCGGGTGAGGCTGACACTCCCTCCCGCCTCACCCGGGTGGAGAAGTCATTGGATAATTTTCCCCCTCAAAAAACCCCTGTTACTGTCAATTCAAACTTTCGATGTGAGTTCGATCGCATTCTCGCTTTTCGCCCGTCATTGGTCGAGATTATTTTCACAACCAATGACATGGCGAACAGCGATCGAGCTCACTTCGATCTTTTTTGAATTGAAAGTTAGCGAATAGCCTAGGTGTATCAATGCCTAGGTTTTCCAGTTTTGATGGGTATGTAATATGAAGATTATAAGAGAAAGAAAAGAAGAATGTAGCTTTTATAAAGAAAGGTAAAGATGAAGAAAAAAGAATTAATGTATTATGTAGGTACTTAAGAACTTTTTTGTATTCTGTAGAAAAAAACAGTAAATAGTTTTACCATAGCCATAAATAACACCGCGTTAAAAAAAAAAACAAACTGTCAAGTATGTCGTATATTTCATTTTTGACAGCCGCAAAGTTTACACGCATAAATATTTTTTGTATACTATTTTATTAACGGTTTTAACCGCAATGCAACCATACTTCTCTTACTTCAAAAACAAGAAGCCGGGTCAAAAACCAAAATGCCTTTGCGACACCGTTGGACTCCTCGGGAAAATAACTCAAGAACACGAGAAGCTGTTGAAGACAGAAATAAACCAGATCAGGTTAAATTTATTCACGGAAAGAAATTCTGATGGGACTGGGTATCTAATACTTCGGGGAAAAGACATCGAAGGGAGATATCGCCGTCGGATTCAGGACTCGGACATGAGAGCAATATGTATGTACGTCAAACAGTCCTCACGACGAATCACAAGATTGGATCTAAGCTATAATAACATTACAGACCGTGGTTTCTTCAGACTGTTAAAAAAACTACTAATCAAAGGCCGATCCAGCATAATTAACTTGAACATCATGAATAATCGACTAACGCGCCACTCGATTGCTAAACTCGTTAAATATTCGAAGGTTCTAAAACTAAAATACTTACGGATCAATGGAAATCGTTTTGGTCTGAAAGGGACTGAGCAACTTGCTAAGTTTTTAATTTATAACACATCTGTGGAATATTTAGATATTGGTGAAACAAATCAAAATTTATCGAGTATTGCTCAAATCATTACGGCTTTAAGAGCCGACCATGGAGGTAACAAAACAATAAAAGTGTTGGACTTTAGTCGAGTCATTCCGATATTTAATCGATATAATTACGAATCGAAATGGTTTGCGTATCACATCGAGTTTTTATTAGAAAGAAACTCCACTATAATTGAATTACATTTCCAGAAAAATAATTTTATTTGCCACGATGTTGAATATTTGTGAGGGGTTTGAGAAAAAATACAACTTTATTATATTTAGACCTCGCTTTTAACAGAATTGGAGATTACGGAGCTGAATTAATAGGAAAATATCTAGCAGAAGGACCTCAATTATTATTCATAAATATCGCAGGCAATGGTATCAACGATATCGGGGCTAGAGCGCTAAGCTTCGGGTTGCCATACTCAAAAATCCGAGCTTTAGACATCTCCCGCAACACAATGACAGATAATGGTATAATCGACATTTTAAATACAATAAAGAAACCGTTTTTTCTGCGGTTTTTAAATATGTGGGGGAATAAAATTACTCATGATTCTTGTGAGATTATAGAAAGGATGTTAATTAGTGGGGTTTTGTTCCAACACACAATTGATGTCAAAGTTTATGAAGTTGATGAAGTGTTACATGCTGCCTATTATCCAAATCCAGCGAACAGGAACAAACATTTATACTACGATGAATTAGACTTCGGTTGTGTTCAACCAATATACCACATAACAAGGAATAATATAGAAGAAAAGAAAAAAGTAAAAGTTGATTGCAAGCAACGCCATAAGCTGGATAAAACTGATAAATTGAATTTTTAACGCTGGCAACACACTTGTGACTTTAGTGTTTTAAGTGTGGGAGCCATGCTTTGTCACAAATGGGCCGGTTCGACCGGAGTGATACCACCAACGAGCAGAAAACCGACGTGAAGCAACGCTTACGTTGTGTTTCGTCGTGTAAGTGAGATTACCGGAGGCCCAATTATACTCCCCTTCCCCAATATCCCCAATCCCTTAATCCTCAACGATCCTCTAATTCCTAATCCCCAAAAGGCCGGTAACGCACTTGTAACGCCTCTGGTGTTCCAGGTGTCCATGGGCAGCGCTGATTGCTTACCATCAGGTAATCCGTCTGCTATGTTACCGTTTTTTAAGTTTTGATGTTTTGTTTTTATAGTTTTATACGATATTTTAAATTATATGTATTTTAGTGGTTATTTTAGTTTCTTGCTATTCTTTTAGTTTATTGTTTATCGATAAAATCAAATTACCTATTAATAAATTATTCGATTTACATTCGTTTTCCATTTATTTTTACTAGAACATAGGAATATAGACAACACGGTTGGTGCGGTGGCTGGGCAATCGACTGCCGCGCAACCTGTCCCGCACGGAACAACTCTTTGTGTGATCCACAAATTGTATTTCCGGGCCTGGATGTCATGGGAATGTGAACTTGTATGTTTGTAAACGCACCCACGATACAGGATAAAATACGAGAGTGGGGCAACGTTTTTTTTTTAAAAAGAAGATCGAAATGGGCTAAAATCATAACATATTATATTATAAAATGATTTAAAACTGCCAAGTTATCAACTTAAATATGTGACAAACAACTTTTGGTTAGTCTGTGGTTAATTATAAAGTTGAAAGCGACTTATAACAGAAGAAAAGTGACTCGTAAGTTATACAGATTACTTCTAACGACCACAGATTATAATTATACAGATGCAAACTGTTCGCCATAGCAAGCTGATTAGCTACGCCGTAGCAGGTTGAATGACTACGCCGTAGCAGGATAATTCGCTACACCAACCGCTATAGGTCACAGTTTAGACATGTATATAGGGCTAATCCTTTGTTAACATCGGTTATCGACACATAATATTATACACATTTACAAATATAACTATTTAGGCATACTTATTTTGAAACGTATAATGGAATTGATCCCCAGACCTTTAGTTCGCATACAATACATAATTATATAGCTCAACTAGCTTTTACCCGCGACTTTGCCCGCATATTCTTGTGTTTTTTTTATTTATTTAAAAAGCTTTATGCACACAAAGAAGCACATGGGTGGACTTAATGCTGCAGGCATTTTCTACCAGTCTGACTCTTGAGTGATGAAGACCCTGTTTTATCCCATGGGAGTATTTAATCGGGATACAAAGTATCGTATCACCTAAGTCAGCCCATACCCTGCCTGTATACCAAACATCACAATCCGTTCAGCAGTTTCAGCGTTATTGACGGACAAACATCCAAACATCCAAGGAAAGAAACTTATATATTTATAATATTGGTGTGAATAAATCTCAATTACATCGAAACAATTCCATTAACACATCAATTAACCCACAAACTAGAGACGTGCCACAATCCCGCATTCCGGGATGGATTCCCGATAAATTCCCCATTACCCCGGGACTAAAGAATCTAAGAGGCATTCGTAATATCATCTGTAATTGGATGCTGAGTTTCTACAGACTCGCAGTGCTATTCTGAAAATGGAGAATTAATGTCGAAAAGTTATTAAATTCAGGTAGGTACTTTCCTTAATCAAAAATTAATTATTTCCACTGTTCAATATCTACAATAAAATATTAAAAAAATAATCACACTTTCACTTTAACTTTAATATATGTTCAACTTGCATTAAGTGTGGGAGAGCTATGCTTCGGCACTAAAGGCCGGCTCGACCGGAGTGAAACCACGGCCGAGCCGAAAACCGACGTGAAACAACGCTTGCGTTGTGTAAATTCTCACAATTCAATCTCCCCAATCCTATTCAAACTCCTAGTTTGAAAATTTTTGGGCCCTATCCCCGAAAGGCCGGTAACGCACTTGTAACGCCTCTGGTGTTCCAGGTGTCCATGGGCGACGCTGATTGCTTACCATCAGGTGAACCGTCTGCAAGGTTACCGGCTTATGCCATAAAAAAAGCCGTTAGTAGGTTTCGAACCGGCGCAAGAGAAGCGGGCGTGTTATCACTCCGGTCGAATCAGCATATTAATAGAATATTTTCAGAATAGTACTGCGGAGAAGCATCCTTATTATCTTCTGTAATTGGACGGTGAGTTTCTATATCAGTTCGAGTCCCGGTTTCAATCGTTTAGTGAGATAACGCGAACAAATTAATTTGAGCCATGTTCGGAATTCTTTTTATTAAACGGTTTTTGTGATACCTATTAATTAATGTTAGACGTGTTTCATGAGTTTTTGTATTATTGCATTTGATGCAAGTAAACTTGCTTGGTTCTCTTTTTTTTACTTGCACTGACAATGACTATAAAATACTAGCAAACCCCACGAACCGTTTCGCCACCAGATGGCTTCGTTTTATGTAAAGATGAAGAATTTGGTTGTTTTATATTTTATAAACCTCACGGAGCCCGAGACCTTTCCAACGAATGCAAAACTGTGGAAATCGCTCCGTGCGATCTGGAGTTATAGCGCCAGGAAGGAAAACCCGACTTATTTTTATATAACATCATCATCATCATCAACAGCCTATAAATGCCCACTGCTGAGCAAAGCCTCTTCTCACACGGAGAAGGTTAGAGCATTAATCACCACGCTTGCTCAATGCGGGTTGGCGATTTCAAACTTATAATTAGAAATTATAAGTCAAGGTTTCCTCACGATGTTTTTCCTTCACCGTTTGTCAGTGGTGTCTAAATAATCTTAGAAATTTTCGGATACCCAAAAAGGAAAATACTTCAATAATAAGTGAGGCCGGACTCGGCAATCTAACCCAATAACTCTTGCTCAGTAGCTTCACTTACATTCGGCGAAGCAATCAAACGATACCATCACAAAATGTATAAAAATGTTTATAATGAAAACCACGTCTCACTCACTCTATTAAGAAATCTCGCTCATCATACGCACCTAGCCAGCAGCAGCTCCTTCCCGACCCCACAGCCTCTCCAGCTCGGGTCCACCACCAGCCCGTACGCAGTCAGATACTTGTCCACGCCGTACCTCTCGAAGACGTCTACTGACCTGGTCACCAGGTCCACTGCACCGAAGAGTTGAGCCCAGATTTTGTCTTCCGTCTAAAAAAAGTTGTTTAGATTAGGGTAGTTTCCTAAATTTTATTTATTTATTTATTTATTTATTTATTTATTGATTTATTACACACACAAGTTAACATTACAGGTTTAGGACCCAATGCGATAACAAGGTATTATTAAATCTAGCAACTACTTACACCATATTAAACTTATACTAACGAATAAAGTAATCCAAACAATTACAGAGAGAAACAAACCTTGTATTAAATTTAATAAAATAAAGACAAATAAATAGCATTATTATTATTGTCTATCTATAACATAAATTATATAACAGAATTTTAATGTCCGTCTGGTACATTAATTTAAAACTTTAGACACGTATTTTTTCTTTTCTCACAAAATTAGAGGTAAATACCTTCGACGATATATTACTTTGAAATATCGTGTGACGTCACAGCGTGTCATATTTTGTAGCACGTTATGACGTAACGACCTCCCACTCCTAAACTTAGCGCCATTTTATCTAAGTATTGCAACTTATTTGAGAAAATAAAAATAATACGTGTCTAACACTACCCAATTTGGCTGTAATGCTTATGAAGGCTAGGAGGATTAGCTCCAGCGCGGTTTTACCTTTAGCTCGGATCTTACTGGACAGTTCAATTTTTTATGCCAAATGAGGTGGATCACTTTCTAAAAAAAAACGTTGCCCCACATTAGGATTTTCTCCCGTGTCGTGGGTGCGTGTACAAACATACAAGTTCACATACACATCACACCCAGACCCGGAACAACAATCTGTGGATCACACAAAAAGTTGTTCCGTGCGGGAATCGAGCCCGCGACACGTCGCGCGGCAGCCGGTTGCCCAGCCACCGCACCAACCGTGCAGTGATCTTGCTGTATGGTACTTGATGGTAAGCAATCGGAGTCGCCCATGAACACGTCATTGCCGCCTTGTCATTAGTCGTCCGGCACTTAACACATACGGCTGTGGACTATGGAAGCGTTGTGTCACATCGGTTTCACTCCGGACGAAACTTTTTGCCCAGTTTTGTGTAAGTATGGCTCTTCCTTAATTAAGTACAATACATGACTATTTTTAGTTTAAAAAAATTCTTAGAAATACGCATAAGAAACACTAGACGTAAATTTGTAGGCACTATTCGCATCGCACGTGCACCCGGCGAGAAATATCTACCTCTTCGAGAATCACACGGCGTGATGTTTTGATAATGTACTATGATTAAGTAAAATCGGGGGATACTCACGTGAATATACTGAGAAAAGCTCTACTAGTTTCGAACCACAGTGGGGATCTTCCTCATGAGCAGCGTGCGTTGTCGCGGCGACGTCGCGCAGCTCACGTGAGTAACTCGCGATTTTACTTAATTTAGTATGTCTCACGATAGTTATTATAATGTACTATGAGTTCGTATACGCTTTCGAAGTTTGCTTTCTGCAATGGTTCACCAGTTATTTTTTGTTTTAAACATTTTATTTGTTTGTAAAACTATTGTATTACCGAGACAGAACCATTTTACTTCGGGATGAAAACGAAATAAATTTTACAGTGTATATTCTTGTTCAAACTCACATGAAATGGCTCTTCCTTATCCTCCTTGCAGACTACAGTGAGCACGTTGACTCCAACGACCTTCGGAGGCTGGTCATCATTGTCCTCCACGCAGACCAGAGACAGGTGCTCCTTGAGGGGAGACCGCCAGAGCTTCTGCAGCTCCTTCATCGCTGAAGGGTAGTTTTGGATACCTAGAGAAAAGACGGATTCATTAGTAGAAAGGATATATTAAAACAGATTTACGAAAGAACTATACAGTGCAGATATGAATGGGACTGTCCGCTAAGCAACCGATTCAGCCGGGCCTTGAAGCTTCCCAGGTACTCTTCAGGAAATACAGACTCACGTAAAGAATTTCACTCCTTAGCAGTACGCACAAGGAAACTTATTGAGAAGCGCTTCGTGCGTGTGGGTGGGATATCTACCATGAATGGATGACACTTCTTCGATTGTCTTGTGGTACGATGATGGAATATCAAAAATCTCACTCAGTTTGCCCTCGTATTCCATAAAAATTTAACACTCTTACCAATATACTTGCAAGGAGGCTCATCCCTCATGAAGTATCGAGTCAGGAGTTCAACTGCCTCATCAAATAGATCATCAGTCAAGTCCTGAATCCTTAAAGGTCCCTTGTCAGATGAGAACCGATGCCATGTTTTGGGAAATGGAATATCTGAAGGTCTTGTGAACACCATCTGCAAAATACATTACCATTTAGAACATATAAAGAAACGGCAGAATACAGAAAAAATAGAATACATTTGTCACCACCGCTACTCTGAGACTGACAGAGACCGACTGACAGAGACCGGACAGCAGCGCTCTCTGATAAACCTGAACCTTTTATACTGCGATCTCCAACCCGCCTGCCTGCGGAGATTATGACAAACCCCTCTTATGTAGAAGCGCAGCAGAGGACTGTGACGGACTGTTGATGATTGGTGATAAAGTGGTTTTTTCAGAACCCGGTCTCTGACAAATACGTATACGGATCTTTTAACACCCACTGCAGGAGAAGAGGTGTTTTTTAGGGGCAAGCCCGCCACAACCTCCCAAAACTGCAACTCCTGTAAGCCAAGATCTACAGTGGATACAACCGTAAAAACACCGGAACACTGAAGTCCGGCGCGTCCCAGGGACATGAGTAACTGTCTTGGTTCCCGCAACGAAGTGAAGTGGTAATAGAAAACATATTTATCTCTTCACAACACTGCGTCCCAATGTACAAAACATACTTAAAGAAACCACTTAAGCTCTCCCACTTACCTTTACTTAATCAGCTTACAAAGTTACTTAGTATTAACTTGGAAATATGAAGAAGCAACCGGCGATGTTTATCCCACAAGACGCCGCAATATAATGCCGTCTCCAAGGGATGTTCCCGCGACACAACGGGCGCAAAACGTAAGGAATTTTTCAATTAATATTCTTGGTACACTTAGTTTCGTCCTGTGGCTTCGGTTGTAGGATTATGAAATGTAGTTTTTTATACTTTTCTGGCATAATTACTTGTTTGATATAATTTATTTAATTATTGTCATGCTTAAGAGGGTTTTGATAAAACTTTAAAGTACATTGACTGCCTCACTGGCTAAGTGGTCGCAAGTGCGGCTGCCGGGCAATATCAGGTTCGATTCCTGGTTGGGGTAAAGTATTATTGGTAAATTAGTAGCATGGAGTCTGCAATTGCGTCCGGTATATGGCAATAGGCTCACTCTCTATTACATGAAACTCATAACATAAATAGTGAAAAGTGGATGTTACATTGTATAGTACACCTCTGCCTACCCCTTCAGGGATTAAAGGCGTTATCCTACTTCCTACTAATATTAAATATGCGAAAGCTTGTGTGTTTATTTGTCACTCCTTTACGTCAAAACGACTGAAGAAATCGGGATGAAACTTGGAACAGGGGTTTACAATAGTAGGGCCGCTAAGGTGGCGGGACCTGCCGCAAACATAGCGGTAGGTCGAGGCCTGCCGAGTGTAGTGATTCCGTAAAGGCAACCCGGGTCACCACAGAATACTGTGGTGGTTTTAGCCAGTAAGAGTCCGGCACGCCCCCTCGTCGTCCCCACGACGCGGGAAGTCCATGAGGATTTCCATCGTGATAAAAAAAGCGTTGACTAGTCTGGAATATCATAGCCTACTTTTTATCCCACAGTAATACGCGCGATGACGCTAGCATAAGCTAGCTAAGTGATAAAGAAATACCATATCACTTTCGACTCGTTCAATTCTATAATTGAAACTATATCGAAAACAAATCACTTTAATATAACGCTCGAACAGACAAACACACACAATCAAATTATAATATTGATATAATGGAAGTATGAATTCCAATAGAGAATGGAAGTATCGTACCTTGGTCACGAGTTTATTGGAGAATTTGGAATACCGATAAATACGGACAACAGCGAGATGAAGTCGACTATTGAGGATTCCGGAGTTACTTTATTCTTTTACATTCTTAATTTGGACTTAAATTAAAACATTGACAAGATTATCGTTGTAAACATTGCTGTATTTATTGACTCTAGTTTTATTTTAATTACTTTATTTGTTAGTTTATTCTTTATTTTATTTTTTAATCTTTTGCGGTGTGATTTGTTGAGGATTATTCTGCAATAGATTTTCTATAATCTGTCAGTTTTCATCTTGTAATTGTCGTTTATAGTAGTAGTGTCGTGGTGGCCCGGAGGTTTAAGACGCCAGCTTGTGCGGGTACGAAACCTACCAACGGCAAGTACCAATGTGACATTTCCGAGTTATATGTACTTTCTAAGATTATTTAGACACCACTGTCAAACGGTGCTGGAAAACATCGTGAGGAATCCTGGCTTATAATTTCTAATTATAAGTTTGAATTCGCTGAGCAAGCGTGGTGATTAATGCTCAAACCTTCTCTGTGTGAGAATAGGCTTTGCTCAGCAGTGGGCATTTATAGGCTGTTGATGATGAATTGTCGTTTGAAGTTTCTTCATCATCTCATTCGTACGAACTACCAGAATACAACTCTGTGCAGTCTCTTTTTTGTGCCTTTAGGCTTAATTCATTCTGTCTCCTGCAGTAATTCACCGAGGGAAGTGGAAACTATCGTTTTTTTTTCTCTTTATAATATCTTCACCTCGATGCGGGAACCAAGACTTGTTCGGTCGCAAGTGGGACTGCCGCGCCGGACAAAGGGTCTCGGGTTCGATTCCCGTGTCGGGCAAAGTACTACTCGGTTATTAAAAAAAAAATCAGTAGTAGCACGGGATCTAGAATTGTGCGCGGTATATAGCAATAGACTCACCCTCTATTACATGAGACTCATAACATAAATAGTGAAAAGTGGATGTTACATTATACAGTGGCATTAAGTGACGTATGTAATGTGCGCCTCTGCCTACACCTTCGGGGATAAAAGGCGTGATCTTATGTTATTAAGTAAAATAATCTCTCAGTGTAATTCAACTTTACAGAATGCCGTCACCATCTAACTCGATGCTAACCGTTGTATAATTGCAACGACGTCATCTTGTTTGTGATGTCGTCACGTTGTCGTCTCGTTACATTACGGTCTTGTCTGTGGGAGGGAGGCAAGCAGATAGAAAGAAACTATCTATTTAGTACTAGCTTTTACCCGCGGCTTAGCTCGCATCACATAAGGATAAAAAGTAGCCTATGTGACATATACCAGTACACACAGCGCCATCTATACCAATACTTTTGTTTTCCCTCGGGATTATCAAATTTTTCCGTAATAAAAAGTACCCTATTATTTAATCCAGACTTCTAACTTTACGTCTGCAAAAATTCAAAGCAATCGGTTTAGTAGTTACGGCGTGAAAGCGGAACAAACAAACAAACAAACAAACTCACTTTCTAATTTATAATATTAGTAAGGATTTAATTTAATTAAATAGTGGCACATGAGTCGAACTTAATGCCATATGGAATTTTCTACCAGTCAACCAATCTCCCAAAAGGCCGGTAACACACTTTTTTTTTGGGACAAGCCCGCCACAACCTCCCAAAACCGCTGCAACTCCTGTAAGCCAGGATCTACAGTAGATACAACCATGAAAACACCGGAACACTGAAGTCCGGCGCGTCCCAGGGGCATGAGTAACTGTCTTGGTTCCCGCAACGAAGTGAATCAGAAGTAACGCACTTGTAACGTCTCTGGTGTTCCTGGTATCCATGGGCGACGCCGATTGCTTACCATCAGGTGATCCGTCTGCTAGTTTACCGGCTTATCCCATAAAAAAATGATATCGATATGTTACGGTAAATCTGATTAATTGAAAATTATTAATATTTTTACAATATTATTAATAATAACCACATGTTTTGGTAAATGTGAATAAACGATCGAAATTTATTACTTTTAGTAGTAATTATTAATAATTCACGACACATATTGGTAAAAGTTATAAAATAAATAAAAACCCAATGTTTTTTGACCAGCAGGTATTTATTTATAATATTACTTAAACACAGTCTTACAGTCGTGGGTGCTCTCTTGGGCGGGGAGTGTTGCTTGTGATGAGACGAATACAACATGAGGAAATGTGTATGCAGAAACATGTAGAAATAGAATATAACCAATTGACTTTGGACTATTGTACGCTTTATTGGAGTCGGCCCATGTGGCAAGGGTTGAGGCGTCATGCACACATAAATGTCCTACAGTCGGTGGCGCTGTGTGTTGGGCTGTTCCGTTCCCAATAAAAAGGTTGACCGGACCAATTGCTGACACACACGTCATACTCGTGAACGGGTGCCTTCTGCTGGGTCAGGTCGGCTCTCCCATCTTGTTGGTGGGCTGATTTCATAAAGCCTTCGAAATAGAAATAAATAAATAGTGCCTAGTTATTATGTAACCTATACTTTTGCTAATAATTATAGATGTAGTTAATTGTAGTGTGTAACTAGGTTCCCTCTTTACTTTATAGAAATTGACAAGATGTATTATAATAACAAAAATTGTATGACAAGGGCACGGACCTAGAGTCCGTGGAGAATTAATCTATAATATTATAAAAAAAAACACAGTCTTACAATTATTAGAAATCACACAAAGAAGATAACTTGTACTTGCAAACTAAGCAAACAACAAAGCAAGAAAGTCTTACGTGGTACATAAAATAGTAACAAAAATAAAATCAAACAATTATTGTTTCATTAACAAAATCAACACGAATCCTAAAAGCAATCATTAACAATCATATTTGGTTTGCCTGTAAATCTTCTGTAGCACCTATAAATGCAACAATTTAATTTTTAAAAGTATTATCATAGAATTCAACAAATATTTGTTGTTGAATTCTATGATTCACACCGTCCCGCCCCGCAAACCTTGGCCACTTATTACATTTATCACTACTAGGGTTAAATTATTAATAAAAAGCGACAAATGTGATTAATTTATCACTTTGACCTCGACTTTCGGTAATTATTAATAATAATAGATAATTATTAATAATCTTCAATTATTCACTCTTACCGTAACAGATATATTGCCTTTTTTGAGGGGGAAAAATACAATGACTTCTCCCGCCTGGGTGAGGCGGGAGGGAGTTTCAGACTCTTACTGACTAAAAACCACCCCGTTCCTACTCCTGCACTTCGAGCCGGAGCCCCGGTAACCCGTTAAGTCTTCTGCGACTCCGTAGAAGTGGCATTAAGTCCACCTATTTGTATATTT